AAAAAAGCTCAAGAGACTTTGCATTACGTATCGAAGGACTTTGAAGCATGACCATGCACTTTGTTGCACTATCGTGGTTGTTTTTGATGTACGATGTTCAGCATCATGCGTGCCCCTTAATATTGCAAACAGGAGATCGAATGGCAAGGTCTAGGCCATCTTTCTGGGCTGGCATCGTCGTTGCACAACTGTGGAACTGGTGGGAAGCATCCGCAGAACATTAAGCGGGACATGTTGCGGAAGTTGGCAGCCAAGAACCCTGATTCACCTGTGCCTTGTCTAAAACACTGTGCCCTCAAAATGTGTGAGGAAATTAGTACTGGACCCATTTTCTCAACTGACCCGACCTCTTGGATACCTGGTTAGCACTGGATGTGTATGATCCAAGTGATCATCCACATGAGAACTCAAGTACTCTTGTATTGATCAAGTTCCAAAACATAGAGAACTCACTTTGAAATACCATAGACTTTCACCATGATTATTTTTGCAAGGATTCAAGGATTCTTGAGAAGCCACTCGTGGTTATTGCCCTCCCCCTATATATAGAAGCCCTAGGTGCCGATTGAACACGTGCTTGTACCCCTCTACGAGTTGGAGCCAGATGGCAGCGACAGCATCCAGCAAAGGCTGGTTGCAGTAGTGTGTGCAGGGGTGTGTTGTTGAGGCTCTAATTCTCTAATTGAACTGTTCAGGGCCTTGGCAATAAGTGACTACATAGATTTCAAAAGTAGTAGATCAAATGGTCCCATGCTGGGTGTGGCCAACCAGTGCGGCCTGACCAGGCCCATGCCACTCATTCTCCCGGAGAAGTTGTTTCCATGGATGATGCGTCGTGGCATCTTCCCGAATTTGGCTGAGGGAAGTGTTCAACAATACTGGACCCATCTCAAATCAATTGGGTCTCCGTTGGGTGGAATGAGTGATGATGGATGCCACATCCCTCTATATTTATGGGGTGATGGTGCACAGTACACAGAGAGTGGGCAAAGCATTATGGCCTTCACTTGCGGGATTGTCATAGATAAGAATAGGTCAAACACCTGGCCCTTGTTCCTATGCAGAGAAGACCCTTGAATATGATTAAACATGTTTTATTATTCTTTTTTGACCATATATTGTATTTAAGTACTATAAAATATGAATTCACCCGGTCTTGGTTTGTACCAGTACCATTAAGGAAATGAGCACCGGTTGCGACACCATCTGGGCGCTCCTCGAACCAGCCCCTCCGACGCATTTATGTCCTCCATATTTATGTCCTCCATGCAGCATAGTGGTGGCCACCTAAACGTTTGCAGCGTGCAAGGAAAACTTGAGGGAAGGTTCCCGGATACCTTCTTAGAAGGTTTTTGGATCTGGAGTGACTCCATAATATTGTACTCTCTAACCCATCACCCTTTTAGATGGGTCATTGTCATGATTTGTACAAACATACATGCACAGGAGGAAACTGCTTCGATGTGAGGTTGTGGAGTCTCTGCAAAAGATCTATGATGGTCTGCCACTTCCGGCTTCTTCGGCTGCACGGACCCGATCGGACGTGAAGATGGTGGTCACCGAGCTGAGAGGGGATTGGAAGTATTTGGTCGCACCTTATCGCAAATGGTTTGAAACATTTTGCGCATTTTGTACCAAAGTCTGATGAGTATATAGATTGGCTTTGTTCTGGAATTCCATATTTAGAATCCCTGTTCTATAGATCATCGTTGATCAAATTTTGTCGTCTTAAGGAAATATTGCATCTGAACCGATGGTACAGATGCAATTTTATTTGTCATCGTTGCCATGCCCACAAAGATACATTTATGGTCAGCCCTGCACGACTGCTAGACAAGCAGCGATGCTCTGCAGAAGAGTTCTTTCGGGTCAGTGTCAAACCTGGAAAGCAATGTAACTGTGCCTTTAATTTATGTGATTTGTTTTTTGTGCACTTTCCAAACCACCAAAAGGCTAGATCTCTCAAACTGGTGTTGATACCACTCCGAACACCGATATTTTCATGGCCGTTCAAGGTCCACTGTTCTCGCTCCCATATTGGATCCCACAATGCATCAGATTCGACTCCATGCATGTTCTTTGTCTTGGAGTTGACTTGTTGGTGGCTGGGAACGTCATGACCCAGTTGGTTGGCTGTGAAGGCCTGTGGGAAGGTGATGGCACTGATGCTAAGCTCCTATGTGCCTGGCAGCGGTTCAAGACATGGGCCAAGCAGAACAAATGGCAGCTGCCTGTTGGCACTTCTACCCTGATTTTGGTCGTAGGTCCCTTTCTGAGGATATTGGTACCACTAAAATATAAATTTAGGTTGTACGTGTAATTCGCTATAGGGCTTTGTGGTGCTCCTTGACGTCCCACAAGACATGTGTGAAACAATGAGTCTGTTTCCAGAACCTTCCTATTCAGGGCTCATGGTGGGTTGTGTGGTTACTTGCCCTAGTCCATGGTAGGAGAGCAACTGAGGCATAGTGTACCCAAATTCTGTCAGCGCAAACTTCGCTCGAATCAACACCCGTATCCAGAGCTGCAAAGCAAAGCGTGGAACGAAGCTTGGTTTGTTGAGTGGGTTTAAAATCCTGCCCAGGCAGGCCTTGCAAATTCCAGAAAAGATTTTCG